CAAATAAAAAAAGCTTTTTTTTCAATAGACAAAAAAAATGGCCATTCACAATTATTGATCATCATCATCATCATCATCGATATATATTGAATATAAATAATGAAAATATCATTATCAAACACACACACGCACACACACACACACACAAATGAATCTGTGATTGTTTGTATTTTGGATATTTCGGAAATCTTAACACACAGATGAATGAATGAATGAAAAATACATTTTCATTTTGGCATTTTGTATTTTTATTTTATTTACAACTTGAAGATGATGATGACAATGTTTCCGGAAATGAATGAATGATAAAAAAAAATCTTTTTTTCCTGTTACAAAATAATGATTGTGATGGTGAAATAAAATGAAATGAATTTTTTTAGGTTTTCTTTTTTTCTTTCTAAATCGATCCCAGAGGATAATTTTTGTTTTTTTTCCATGATTTTCGTTCTTATCGTTTCAATTCTCATCATCATCATCATCATCATCATTGGTCTTATGGACCAAAATTCTAGATTGATCATTTATTGTTGGTTTTTGCCTGTTAGCATTGTTTTTTTTGAAATTCTTTGATCTTATTTGACGTGAGGATAAATTCGATTCTTTTGGGAATTTGATGTTTTTTTTTTGATTCCATTTGATTTTTTTTTTTTTCGTTCATCAATTTACACATTCACCAATTTAATCGTTTAAATTCTGAATCGAAAAATTGTGGGTGTCAGAATTACCACAACAACAACAACAAGAACAGCAGCAGCAATTATAATAATTGGAAGCTTAGGATTTTAGGCTTTTTCAATTCTTTATGTTCATTTCGAACAGAATAATAATAACCTGTAAACCAAATATTTAATGTATATAATCATTATATAATTTGATTATTACAATTGGATTATTTTGAATTGTATTTTTTTTGCGGCAATTCTTTTCTTACCGCTTGAGGTTTGATCATTGAATGAACGCAGAATAAAATCCTTTTTTCAATAATAATAATAATAAATGTCATTAATTCTGTTGTAAGATAAATTCATAAATAAATATCATTATCAACAATCAAATAAATGATGTATGATTCTCTTGAAATTCTTTAAAAAAAATTGTTTTTTTCTTACTCAAGCAAAAAAAAAACCAGAAGAATCGATTATTATTCTTTTGAAAATATAATAGAATCGGGTGTGCAAGTGGCCAGCGTTTTTTTTCAAGATACATATATACTACTGTTACTACTACTACTACTACTATTATCATTTCATGTAATGGACTTACATATATACCACTATATCCATTACACATACAGATATAGCGAAAATATATATATTCACGTTGGTTACATTCTGTTCAATTGAGAATTTCACATTCGATCATCATTTGACGAATAAATTCGAATGAACAAACAGCATGCACATATGTATATCACTTACAGGCAACAAAGAATATTTTTATTTTTTTCGTTGGATCGAAAATGAACAATCATCATCATCATCATCATCATCATTCATAACAGAACATTTGTTTTGATGTTGTTTAATTGAAGAATTTATTTTCTTAAAGAAAATTTTATTTTTTTTCAATTCAATAGAATATCCATTAGGCAAAATAACAACAATAACAACAACAACAGCAAAAAACAATCACCGATCGAAGATTCTTGTTTCAAATGCCACAAATAGAATAACTAAAAAATTCAAAAATCAATCATCATCATCATTATTAAAGTTTTATTTTTGTGTACTTTGTAAATGTTTTTCGTGGTCATATTTCTTGCGCTGGTGGTCTATGTGTAACCACGATTGATTATCAAAATTCTTTAGTTTTTTTTTTTTATGTGTGTGTGTGTGTGTATGTCAGTTTTCGATTTATTCTTTATCCATCATTAATAAAATAAACATTTGCTTTCGTTTCAATAATAATGATAATGATGATGGTTGAAGCCAAAAAGTAAGAAAAAGTAAAATAATAAATACTGGTAAGTTGTTTGAAAATAAATTATCATGTTATACAAAATTTCTTATCTTTTTTTTTTGGTAAAAATTTTTGTATTTCCGTTTCCTCGGTTTTTTTTTCTTTCTCTCTATCAATTTAAATTATCATTAAGGTGACTTTGTGACTCATTGAATATTGAAGAGAATGAGAGAGAGAGAGAGGGATGTTCTTTTTTTTGGATTTCATATCATCATCATCATTATTATTAATAATTAACATCATTATGAATTTCTTTAGTTTTTTTTCAAAAAAAACTTGATGATACACACAACACTAATGAGAAGAATTTTTAATTTTGTATTCATTATTATCATCCTCTTTGTTTGATGTTTAGGAATTTTATTATCCAGTTTGATGATGCTAAAAAGAATTTTTTTTTTCATTCCATTGTCTTTTCCGATGATTTTAATGGTAGTGATTTTTATCTTTGAATTTTTTTTCTTTTTTTTTTTTTTTTTTGCAGAATTTATACAGAGAAAATTTTTTGAAAATGTTTTTTCTAGTGTAACGAATAACGTGAATTTCTGCCATTTCATTTTTTTTTTTCTATCGAAAATCGATACATTTTTTTTGTCATAATGGAAAAACAGCGACTTATCAACAACAATCATTATCATATATTCGATTTGATTTCCAATTTTCCATTTTTTTTGTTTGTTTGTTTGTTCATTCTGTTTGATTTTTCGTTACTCGTTTGATCTACCAATCAAAAGAGTAACAAAAAAAAAAAAATCAAAATATGATGATGATGATGATTTACCCATATAATATAAAAAATAATGTTTGCATGCCATAAACGATTTATCAAATAACATTTTCCATTCCATTTTTCATCGAAACACTTGTATATATATTATATATGTCGATATCGTCAGTTTATTATTATTATTTTTATTATTATCATTGGTATTAGAAAATGTGAAATTAGATTCTAAAATGTTGTTGTTGTTGTTGTTGTTGTTGTGCTAATAGGTCAATAACAATATTCCATTACAATGAAAAAAAAATGTTTGACAATGTTTTCACAAGCCATTTTCATTCAAAAAAAAGGTTTGGCTAAATTATAAATTTCGATCAAATTACAAGTAATCATAGTTTATAATGGCATTTTCTTTCTTTATCTTTCTTACTAATTCTGTGTGTGTGTGCGAATTCTTATTCTTAATCATTATATGTTTAGTATGAAAAAATAAATTCAAATTACTTTTACTCTTTCTATCGTATCGTATGAATTACCATTTAGAATAACGTTTTTTTTTTTTGGCTTCATCTAAAATAAGTGGTGGTTGTCGTTGTTGTAGTGATGAATCTGGAACGCTCACCATACATTTGGCAGCATTTTCATTTTCATGAATGCATTTTTTCTCTTCTTTATTATCTAAATGTTTTCGTTTCGTTATTTTGGCCATCGCATGGTATTTTCATTTTTTTTTTCATTACTTTCAGTTCTCACACACATATCACACACAACATCTTTGAAATTTATAAAAATTGACCTGTCATCCTCATCATCATCATCATCATAAACAATGGATTTTCGTTTTTTTTTTCTTTCGGTTGCTGCTGATGATGATGATGATGATGATGATAGATTACAGAACCATGAATTTGCTATTTTTTTTTTACTTTAAGAAATAATAATAATAATGATTAGAATATTCTTGATAAATTTGTCTCTTTCTTTGATAAATTTGACAATTTAGATGACATTTTAATATGATAATGACGGTAAAATTTCCATTTTATCGGTATATATAAAAGAATTTGAATTTTCTTTGGAAAATTTTATTATATCAGTTTTAAAATGAGAAAAAAAATGTTTCCACGCCAGCCATGTGCATGTGTGTGTGTGTGTGTGTGTGTATAGCCAAGCCTAATCTAGGTTTTTAAAACGATTTTTGTCAAATTTAAATTTGGATTCATCGAAATGACATTGCTAATCCATTATTGAACGTAGCTAGCTTTTTTTTGTGATTGTGTGAACAAAATTAATGTCTTTTGTGTCAGATTTTAATACAAAATAATCCTTTTCATTAACATATATTCTGTATATATATATCTGAATAAGTTTGTTATTTTTATTCACAGAAACACGAATTTTATTCTTTCTTTATCTAATTTAAGATAATCAAATGATGATATAAAACATCATCATTATGTACTCAATTCTATGGAATGAAAAAAAAAATGGTCAACAACACACACATATACAACTTATATTGACTGACCAAACATACCATTATTCCAAACCAGCATTATTTGTGTTAATAATCAAATTCAATTATATTGAATTACACTTGATGATGTTGTCTGTATATTGTGTGTGTGTGTGTGTGTGTGTGTGTGTACGGGCAATGTCATTTTCATTTTGTTGTTTTTTTTTTTTTTTTGATTAACACTTTTCAAATAGAGATTCAAAATTGAAAGGAATTTTATTTCCTTTTTGAAATGAAATCCAGCAAGTGAAATTTTGTTTTCTTTTTTTTTTGAATTAAACACACTCATACACACACACACACACAAACAAACGCAAACAATTTTTCATTTCATTCATTTGGTTGGTTTGTTGTTGGTTTGTGATTTTTGTTGTTGTTGTTGTTGTCACAATTTTCAGCATTTTTGTGATGTTTATTATCCAATTTGGTTGTGTGTGTGTGTGTGTTTGGATGGAAATGTCACGTTTTTTCCTATTCACACATATCGACAATTTATTAGTAACAATTCAAACACTTTCATACACTCAATACACATATACAATAAATAATTCACTTTGCATTCATTCATTCATCTGTTTATTTTTTTATTTTTTTTTTTTTTTCAAATCGAATAATGTTTTCTAGGAAAATTTCCCATTCATTTCCATATTTTGTTTTTTTTGCCAAAAACTTTTTACTACAAAAAAAGTTTTTATTTAAAATTCAATTTTTTTCTGTTTTTGTTTTTTAGACTTGATTGATTGATTGAAAAACGACAACAACAACGAAAACGTTATAACCGAATTATATTATCATCACATTGATCGTCGATCCATTATTATCAATTAATCATCATCCATAGAAAACCATTATCATCAAAATGGCCGATTTTTATCATGATAGCCTTATGCATAATCTAAGTCATCTTTATCATCATTCAGAAAAGTTTGGTGGTTTGATTGATCCTTCGATTGATCCTATCACTATATCATCATCATCATCATCATCTGCACCATTAATAAATGAAGAATATGATTGCTTCAATGTTACAGAATTAGAAGCTGTACCAAATCGTTTTGGACAATGGTTTCTTATTTCATTATATTCATTAACATCGTTATTAGCATTGATTGGTAATTTAACTGTTATTATTGTTGAAATATATGGAAAAGAATCGGCACATAATATAAGAAAATATTTAATCAATTTGGCTGTATCGGACATCACTATTGGCGTATTGTGTGTACCATTCACATATACAGATTTTATGCTCGGTCAATGGATATTTCCACATTGGCTATGTCCAACGGCACAATTTGTACAATTATTAAGTGTTTTTGTTACATCATTAACATTGACATTTATCGGCATTGAAAGGTATGTAGAGATAGTTTTTATTTTTATTTTGGTGCATTTTTGTTTAAAAAATATAATTTAATTTGATAAGTTTTTTTCTAAAAAAAACTTTTGATTGATTATGCCTGCCTTATGATTGTCATTTATATGTGTGTGTGTGTGTGTGTATGTGCGACAGAGGTTTGTCGTTTAGATACAAATTGGGTTCTTCTTTTTTTTTTTTTTTTTGTTGAAACTAAAAAAATAATTTGAATTCCTAATACTAATGCTTTCGGAGGGTGAGGATTTTTGTTTAGTTAAATGAAAAAATTTTTCATTAATTTTCCGGATGTTTTACATCACTATTTTCCAGTGAATGAGAAAAAAAATCATTTTCTCATTTTCATGATGATGATTGAAATGTGAAAAAAAAAATTTTTTTTTTCCCCACTAATGGATGGATCCATTCTAAATGAAATTTAAAAGTTTGAACTTTGTTGCTAGTGTGAGTGTGATAAGAAAAAAAAATGATGTGACAATAATAAAAATTACATTATGATTCAATTTAATCGAGCGCCCCCTAGTGTGTGTGTGTGAAAAAAATTGATTTTTTTTTGTTTTGTTTTTGTTTTTTTTTGGTGATTATGTAATAATAATCATAATATATATTGACAAATACCAATCAGTAGAAAAAAAAAGATTATGCTAGAATGCGAATAAAGTTTCAAGATTATCATCATTAAATGAGGGTGAGAATGAATTGAGCATAAAAGTGGAACCAAAAAGATGTTCCAAATACGATTTAGATTTCTTGGATCAATTTATTTTGGATCAAAATTTTGACTATTTTTTTTGGTATTAAATCGGTTATATTCCTAAGAAAAATGATCATAATGATGATGATTATGAGTGCAATGTCAATGTCGATTCTTTCTTTTTTTTTTCTTGAAATTGAATTTGAATTTTTCTGATTTTCTCCATTGAAATTCTGTATTCTTTTTTTTTGGAATTTAAATTGTAAATTTTTTTTTATTTTTTTATTTATTTATTCCTATAAATAACGGGTTATTTATTTAAATTATTCATCAGTTTTTTTTTCTCTCCGGAAACAGAAAGGTTAATAGCATTTCGAATTGGCAATGTTTGAAAATATTTGAATTTTTTTTTTTTTTGTTCACACACACACGCACACGCACGACACACACACTACATTTGTAAGATGATTCAATGATTAATCGATAATCATCATTGATCATGAAATTGTATAGGTCATAACAGGGAATAAAAGTTTCCGTTTGGATTGTTGTTGTTGTTGTTAACAAAAAAAAAATGTTTAATTTCTACAACAACAACAACAATTTATCATTAATCGATTCATCATTTATCATTTGAATGAATGAAATGTACAAATTTTTTTTCATGTTTTTTTTTTCTTCTTGGTCATCATCTGTCATTTGAATGATACATTTTTCTGTCTATTTTAATGATTAATACGTCATTTATGAATGTTGTGTCTGTCTCTCTGTGTGTGTGTGTGTTAGTTATTAATGATGATGACTATTTTGTGATAATATCAAAATTCCAAACGTACAACACACACAAATAATCATCATCATCATCATCATCAGTAATATAATACAAGTCAAATAGAAAGTGAAAAAAAATCCATTTTTCTTTGCTCAATGGAATTTCATCATTTTCAATATATATTAATATTTATTGGACGATTCGATGAAAAAAAAAATGGAAGAGATTCATAAATCGGAATTTTTTTTTTCGTTTTCTTCTGTTTACCACTACTATCACCATTCAAACAGAAAAAAAAATTCCATGATGAACCATGTAGTTCCTGAATTCCAAGAAATATTTATTTATCCTATCATTTTGGATCCATTCTATGTGTGTGTGTGTGTGTGTGATTGGCATGGATCTCTTCTTTTTTTTCAATCATTTTGAATTATAATCACATGGTTGTGTGTGTGTGTGTGTGTGTATGTGTTTGAGTGGAACAAAGATTAGGTGTGATACATTTTTTTCCGGTTTTGGTTTTGGTTTTAGTTTTAGAATCATTTCATTTTCTAATGGTATGAAATTTTTTTTTTCGTCATTTGATGTTTATTTGATTATTACAAGATTGATATAAAGAGATTGGGTTAAATGTAATTATAGTACGTTTGTGTGTGTGTGTGTGTGTGTGTATGGTGTTGACATTTTCAATTTCAATTTAATTAACACAATGACAAAAAAAAATGTTGTCGTCGTCGTCGTCGTTGTTGTTGTTGTTGTTGTTGCATTTGTTGTTGTTGTTGTTGTTATTAAAATAATTGTGATTGACAGTTTTGATGATGGTGATGATGATGAAAAGAGATTTTTTTTCATAATTAAATTATTATATCGAAACATTGTGTTATAATTAATTTCTTTTTTTTTTTTTTTGTACAATTATCCCTAATGATGATTGAGAATGTGATGTATTATTATTTTGATTGATTAATCATCATCATCATCATCATTGTGTTTGTCACCTATACTATGGATATATACGATAATATAAGTGGCAAAAAAGAAGCAAACAGAAATCTATTTCTTGGAAAAGTTTCCGGAAAAATTATTTTTGTATTTTTTTTCTTGATTACAGTAGTAGTAATCAATTGGTCAGCAGCTGTTGGTGGTGGTGGTGGTGGTGGTGGGTGGTGGTTATAATTTGTTTTCAGTGATCAAATGTAATGAAATCTGGTTTAATCACGATAACTTTTTTTTGGCTTATGTATGTAATATGGAAGGATCTTGATCAATCAAATCAGATTTTTGTTGTTGTTGTTGTTGTTTTGTTTGACATTTTCATTGACTACTACTGCCTTTCCCTTGTTGCTATGATCTTTTGATATTTAGATTTTGATTCATTCAGTAAAAATTCTTTGAAAATTCATGAAAAGAATTTTCAATTTTTTCCAAAAAAAAAACTGGAATTAAATTGAAAAAAAATGAAAAACTTTTTTGGATGATGACTCTTCAGATTTGTAATTGACAATCATCATCATCATCGAGATCTGTTCAAAATGATCATTGTCAATTGCATTGAATTGACATTGAAGTTGTGGTTTTTTTTTTTTTTTTTCTTCTTTAAGATCATTTTCTGGCCACACACACACACGCATTTACATTTTTCTATTTGCCACCATGTTTTTTTTCATATTTTATTCATTTTCAAATAATGATTGTTGGTCATTTGTACTTGTACCTTTTTTTTTTAATTTCTATCTCTTTTTTTTTCCATCTTGATTAATCATCTAGAACACGAGATTTCCCCGGTATATATATATATAGGCAGTGAAATCGAAAGAAATATATATATTTATTTTTCTCTGTGTTTTTATTTTTATTTTTATTTTTAGTTTTTTCTCTTTTATTGAGAAGAACGTGATCTGTTTACCATATGATGGTCAATGATGGTTGTTGATGGCAATTGTGAACATATATATTAATATATGACCGACAATTATCTGTTGTTGGCCGAAAAAAAACTTTAGTAATTTCAGTCGATTCAATGTATTTGTGTTTTTTTGTGTGTGTGTGTGAAAAATTGTTTTTTTTTTGTTTCGTATCCTTTTTTTTATTGCTGGACATTACTAAACTATTTCTACCCTATAATCACATCAATGGTGTGTGCGTCTGGTTTGAAATTTGTCAATTCAATTCAATAGAATTTGTTCATCGAAAGGTCGTATATACGTGTGTGTCTTGAACAAAAAAAATGAAATGAAAGAGAAATTTTCTCATCATCTTGATTCCTTTTTTTCTACTTTTTTTTCAAATTTATACGATATTCTCGAGAAAATGTCATCATCAAAAAAAACAAGACAAAAATACAAAATCAACATTCAATCAATTTTCATCAATGTCAAAATAGAAATTTTCCAAATTCATTGCTCTGGTGTGTATATGTGTGTGTGAATGATGTTCATTCATTCGATATAGATGAAAATCCCAAAATCCACCCACTCAGGGATAAAAAGGCCAAAAAAAAAAATTTCTGATTTTCATTCAACAACTCAAAATCCACATACCAAGAGAGAGATTTGTTTGAATGACCACATCACATCCATATTACAAGTGAAAAAGAAAATTAATTGATTCACTGGCTGCTGCTGCTGCAGCAGTATAAAATTCCATATATATCGATATATGATCGATTATTTTATTTGTTTTTTTTCTTGTTCTTGTTACATCATGATTCTTTATTAATATATTCCAAGGTCACAATCATGTCATGTTCATCATTTTCATTGTCTTAATAAATCTTAATCAAAAACTTAATAATAATATAATCAGAATTTTCTTTTTCCTTTTTTTATATATGATGGATTTCTATGAAAAAAAACTTTTCGTTTACTACGTTATTTTAAAAGTTTCTTCCAAAAAACAAATGGAAAAATTCTTTCATATGTGAACGAAGAATATTCATTCTGTTTTTTTTTTTTTTTTTTTTTGAGCAACGGATGTTGTTTGTTATCATGGTGTCTGTGTTTTTTTTTGTTTTGTTTTTTTCTAAAATTTTCACTTTATGATGCTGCTGGTTCACAAATCATTTCCTGTGCGTGTGTATGCTGGAAATTTTTTTTTTGTTGGTTTTTGTACATTTGAAAAAACAAACCAAAAATAAAGTTTCCATTATACATGATTTTAAATTTGTTTGCTTTTTAGTCAGTGATTTTTCCTAGATCAACAACATATTTTTGTAGATTGATTTAAAATTTCAATTTTTTTTCGACGAAAAAAAAAATTGAAAATTGAAAATGAAAATCGATAAAGATGCGTTTAGCATCAGCAACCATCAGCATTATCATTTTATCATTATCGATTTTTCTTTTCGCCATTTTGTTTTAGTGTTTGTGTATTTTTTAGCTGAAAAATTTGCATTTCACATTGATTTTTTCTCGCTTTGTGTGTGTTTCGTTTTTGAAATGGTGTTGCAAATGATGATGATAATTTTTTTTTTTTCATTCCTGTTTCAAAAATTTTCATTCAAATGAGAAAAATTG